CGTTGGGGCAGTCTGGGGCAGGACACCACTTAAAATTGTCCTTGTCTTCGACATACGTTCTGTTGAGTAGTTCTTGATATCGATCTGCGAGTGCTGGGGTGACCAGAACATCAAGTGACGCTGAGTCAAGGATGCGACCACATCCATCAGAGGGGCATTGGATCCTAGCAGCCTCCCCCTCTTCACGGATCTTTTGTGTCAAGTAGTGCCGGTAGCAATCAACACAGTAGCGATGACCACATTTCATGGCAAATGACTCGAGGCCCTCCTCATCCTCACAGCATATGTCACATGTGAAGCCAGGGATAACCTCCAGCTTTGGAGGGCTGGATGTATTGCTGCTTAATCCAGCAGCTTCGAGTACTTTTTCTGGCCTGTCCATATAGTCCTCAAGCAACCTCTCTTTATTCCATCGGAAGTGGCGAAGCAAGATGGCCGCGTCCTCTTTCTGCATGTCTAAAATCATGTTGACTTCGCTGATCATGTCATCCTGTTGGCGTTGGATATCGCTCGGTTCATAGACTTTGTATGATACCACATGTGCGGATTTCTTCTTCTTCTCTGCATCTTTGATTAGACCAAAGTCAGGATCGGGCTCGTCGAACTCTTCGTCATCAAAGTCTGTGATATCAACATCATTAGTAACCAAGGTAGTGGAATATGGGGGATCCCGGAGGATATTGGGAAACACACCTTCACCTGCGGATATCTCATCGCCGCTTTCGTCCTGCATTATCTCGTCGTCGCTCGAAAGAGCCGACATGTATTCCTCCTCGGAATCCATGGGGTTGCTGGCGGTGGTGAGTGGAGTTGGGGGCAGGGCGTGTTTGTCTACGACGGCAGCTGAGGCGATGACTCTCTTGTTGGGCTCTTCGTCTCTGTTGGCAGAGGAAATCGTCGCCTCAGCAGCCTTCCGCTTCCTCGTGGTGGGGGGAATCGTGGCGGTTTAAGGGAGGTCTTGGGAGAAGACCAAGGATAGAAGGATGTCTGAGGGTACAGAGCAGAAATCGGAAGGTGGCGTTGGCGTTTGAAGGCGGGTGACTAACACCAGGTAGCCTTATGTAAAGGACCCAAGTACGTAGCCTGGGGTAAGGCAAGATGATGTATGGTATGGAATGGAATGGCACTATAGCGAGTGGTGACGGAGGGTCGAGTAAGAGTCAAGTGAGGCCGAGAGGGGTGCCTATGACGGAGCCGGGGCCATTAAATTCGGCACAGGTACCTAGTAGCTAGTAGGTAGGCAGAAACACGCTGTAATATGGTACCCAGCAGAGGAAACAAGGCCTGTGCTAAAATGTACTAGCCGTCTTGACAGAGTCGACACCGGTGAGCGTAAAGAGGAGATAAGCAGTTCGTTGATGGAAAAGAAGTTTTTTGTTGAAACAGCAGCCTTCGAGATGATGATAAATAAAAGTCACACACTCTCTCTTTCCATCTCACTACAGTTGACTGGACTGCCCGACCATTAACCTAGCACGGGAAGGCGGGACGGTACGGTGGGGGAGCTGGATTGGAAGGCACGATAGTAGGCAGCAGAGACCCGGACTTATGTGGGTAGGCAGTCAGGCCCCAGCCTGGAAAAGAAGGAACAAAACAAGTGGGTCGTGCGTGGTATGGCAAGTGTCGACCACTGGTGTGCTGGGACGCTCAGTCAACTGTCTTTAAAATGTTTCCTTCGTACCTTCTGTCAAAGCGTTCTGATTTATTTGATATGCAGTAGAGGTAAGGATATCTCGATACTGATCTTGAATCCTTAAGAAGTATACGTAAGGTCTGTGTTCTGCATTTCATCAACCTGAAACTCACAGTCATAACCAACTAAGAGTTGTTCCACGGGTATCAACCATCCCAAGGTTGCTGAGGTGTGCGGTGACTCCTAATACAAAGTTCTGCTAAGGTAATTTATGAGTAATAAAATTCTCAGATACCTCGCTATGGTATATTAGCACTGGATGGGCCAGGTGAATATACCTATATTGTCCTGTTGTGTTTTTTTTTTTTTTTTTTTTTTTTGCGATTTTAACTCTATATTGAAGTATACTACGGGTTGCTATGCCTGAGTAAGCACTGGTAAAATCGGTGCAAGCTCAGGCAGTGGAAATGAGAGTAAGTTTCCCTAAGTGACTCTGCTAGCCGATAAAGGATTTTGAACATGGTTTCTATCACATTGCCTAGTATCTCCCCTCACTCTATTAGGTTAAAAGGAGGATGACATATGTAGTGGAGGTTATTGAAGAATGGGTGTCACGATGACACTGCTACCCTGTACCCAGTCAAAGCGCAGGACCACTGGGTTACCCCAACTCTCTCCTGTAAAAATTCTTTCTTGGCACGCACTGTTAGTGCGGTGCTAGGAGCGGGATTTTCTGCAGGCCACGCGACCACACAAAAACTGCGGGGACGCTATCGGCTCCCTAACAGCAGTTTTCAGAGAAGGAATTTGGAGAGTTCGCCTTCTCTGACAACACCTTTGTCGGATCTAATGGCGGCACCTCAGAACCAGAACGCCTTAGATATCGGAGGACGGTGCCGTGGCATCGGTAGCGACATCCTCCCGATCAACGACGCCGATTGCGATGGGTTTTTCCCCTTTGAAGGCAAGCCGCACCGCCGGCCTCTGATTCCTTCCCAAGGTTTTTCCCTGCCGCCACGACATACGACTACGAGCTACAACTTGGTTACTGGAGATTGTGGACTGCGTCAGCAGATGTAGCGATGCGTGAGAGAATTCTGGTCGGTGGAAAAAGTCGACAGTATGCCCCCGAACCCGCTGACGGGTGACGGGCTCGAGAAAATACAGCGCCTTTTGTGCCTTGGTATGCTGGATGGTGAAGGAAGCGGGGTATCCTGTACCTAGCTAGCTCAGCACGTCTTTTGCTCCAGTAGGAGATTTGGCTTCGTTACAGCCACCCAGACGAAAAATACACAAACAAACAAACAAACAAACAAACAAACAAACCACTGGGTTACCCGCTCGGACAGTGCAGGTGAGAAGTCACTATCTGAGCTAGCCAGCAAAGGATATTGAGGGTTGCTTCACCTGTGTGTTCGACCCAGCATCGATACCCATAAGCGGTTTGTCCATGAACGGTACAGACCACAATAGACCGTGGTTAACGAGACGGAGCAACCGACTCAGGCCGCCGTTGTATTATATCAGGGCAACAAATCGCAGTCAAGAAGCGTATGCTTCATAGATCTCGGTGTCATATACTGTATCGTCATTTGTTACAGCACCAAACGAGTTGAGCTCGCGATCTAGGAAAGAATGACAATGATCCAGGTGCATGATCAACAAGCGCAAGTACTGGCCATCATGTGCAGAACCTCAAGCAAACGCCGCTTCAGAAGTTCAGACCAACTGCTGGCCATGCGCATGACGCCGTGTCTGGAGCCATAAGCAAGACCAAGGTCTACAAGAGCGGTCCATGATGTGTCTTCGGCAAGCTTGTCCTGGCATCCATTATCAGTGGCGCTTATCGACAGTACGCCAGATGACCCAATTATACATTTCCTGTGCCATGTGTTTTGTTTGAAGATTGAACGGTCTAGCAAGTGTTGGTCAAGCAACCCATCAAGAATAGCTGCAACAATTATGCCTCGCATTGACGCGCGCTTCTCCAACTATAGAGTTGACCCAGGCCATCTAGTTGTCTCGCGTATCGCCAGAGGAGGTCGAAATATCGAAGCCAACCACAGTATTGGTTTTCGTACACACTGAGGTTCCGTAAACGAATTTCCTAGAGCCTTTGCGACCAGCACGGGCCTATTTGCGCGCGCGTCGACTTGCAGCCCAAATGCCTTTGTCAAGGTCATTGGCCGCTGGAAGGCATTCCTGACCGACCAATCTCTGGTTTGATGCTGTGTGGTAAGTCGTTAATGTTCAGCCGTTGATTGGTGGCCATCTGTCTTGTAAAAAAAAGTCCCTGGCCGCTGATTGGCATCTCATACTCGTAGTTGACGGCAACAGGCATGACCACTCATTGGAATTGGCTGACCACACCTTTTATTCGCCGAGATGTTCATCTTCGTTGATAGCTCACCCAATAAGCGTCACGCCTGGGGCTGTTGCTAGTTTCGAACTTTGGCATCATGATTGAGATCAAGGATAGAGTTAGTTGAAGCAGTGATCAATGATTTGCTATATCCACTTTCAGTTAGCCTCACTAAGGTAGAGGAGGAAGCATGGCCATTTGTTGGAGATGTTTGAAGGAAATGGTAATCGAATCTGCGAAAGTATTATGAAGAAAAACACCAGTGTATTAAGTTTTAAAATTGCAATAAAATGAATACTAGGTACCTGCCTAGGCAATGCATACCTCTTAATTGCACTCATTTGTTCAAGATAGAAGCTTTAGATTACTCTTCATCTCCTTGTAAGCACACGAAGTGACCCCGGGTTCCCCTCCATCATTCACCTGGGACACGAGATAGACCTCAAGGATATGACAAACCAGCCTCATCCTCGTAATATTTACGAAAGAACTCGCCAGAAACTCATTCAGCTGCAAAGCATCAACCGTTACTCGTCAGCATCAAACCTACCTCGTCGCTGTCAGAATTGTGAAAAAGGCCATGGATGAGATCCTATTCGCTCGGTACTTTGACACGCCGCGAGCCAAAAACAGATCAGTTTGTGTGAAAGCCGGAGAGTTACGCATGTGTTTTCCCAGGCCTACCACGAGTCCTGCCTTGGTCGAATCACATTCCTCCCGACCATCTGGGCCAGGAAGCAATCCCCGGCGCCAACAACGGCTCTGGCGACCAAACAGCTCCCTGAGAGGGAGATTTCAGCCAGGATGACAGGTGACTAGGGCGTATTCGAGAATAAAAAAAGCAGGGAGACTAAACTACACAGGACACTTGATTGAGCCCTGCTCCATCGAATCAGCAGACGTCCCGCCCCCTGTCAGTTGCATGGCCCTATTCTCGAGTTGGCGTAGGCGGTTGATGCTGCTTTTAACGCGACTATCACCGCCAAAGTCAGCCAATCCAGATCCAACCTTTCGGTCCTTGCAACTTACAACCATCACAGCGCCTCGTCTCTCTTGCTGCCCACCAACCATGATGAATGGAAAACTGAAAGGTTGAGCCGCCGACCAACATGTCCAGTATCCGTACTGTTGCTCGTGTTTCTCACTTGAAAGAGAGGAGAGTCTACGGTCTCAATCACAGCTTGGGTCCAGGCGTTGGCTTGGAATTGTCCTGCCACGACACCATCAACCATCAACCAGGTAGGCATAAGAGTTGTGCAGTCAGTACAAACGGCCTTAACCGACCTGAATTCTCTTGGTCACCAGCATGGCGCCCACCCACCAACGAACCAACATTGGCGGCTGCTGTGCGGCAACAAAGGTCCAGCGGAGATAGAGTGACATTGTGTAGCATAATACTGCACAGCTGTCACTGTCCGGCTGGCAGAACCGCACAGTCACATCTTCACATCGCAAGCTTGCCGGCAACACAGATCATTGGGCAGGCTGAACACGCTGCGGAGTGAAGCAGAGTGCTCAGAGAAGAGCAACATATCAGTGATAACCACAGCCATACATCCCCTCACGGGCTCATTGCATGGTCTCTCGTGTTGTTGCCGCCCTCTTTGGCCTGATCCTGCATCTCTGTACGCGCTTGTTACTGCTGTGTTGTCGCTGTTCTACCTATCGTCCTGTGTTTCTCTACATCTGCTGGTGCCTTGGTGGTTGTCCGTGTCTGGTACGGGCTCATGTACACGCGCCCGGCCCCAGTCTGGTGGTATCCCGTACGGTAGATTACCTTACCTACCTATCCACACCTCCAGCTGGGGTCGTCGTCTCTTTCATTACACCCCTCTACCCCTTCACCCTCACAGGCCGTCATAGCCCCACATTGTTCCAACTGCTTCACACCCCCTTCACTTCTTCAAGCGCCCACCTCTTCCCAATTTCATCCTCTGGCGCCAAATACTTGACGCAGTCCTTTCCTTATAATCGTCTGTTGCTGCCTTTGCTACCCTCTCACCTTCGCTTCTTCTCCAGTCAGTCAGTAGTCTGTTCACTCGCTGCTTCTATCTGCCTGTACTCCTAGTTCCCACTATCTGGGATTGGCTGCTGGTTCATATAATCAACACAGCTCAGGCTCTTCAGCTCGCCCATAATCACCAGTCTTGATCTCGACAACCAACGTCAACTCAACAATCATCATGCCTACCGCCAAGCCTAAGTTGGGGAAGCTTACCACTCCCGTCACCGCTACCTTTCCTTCCGAGATCACATCGGCAACGCCTATCTCGGCCGTCTCCTTCACATTCAAACCTGATCCGGACTTTCTCAAGACGCCTATTAGCCCACCCATGGCTTATACCGACTTCCTCACCAAGGCTATGGCTCTCAACTCCCCAGCTACGAGCTCAGGGCAGACCACCCCAGACTCGCTCCCAGATACGGCGACTAGCGAGGAAACCGACACCTCTAGCAAGAGTGAAGAAGGCACTCCTCCGTCTTCAGCTTCAAGCACTACTTCAAAGAAATTTGCCCGTCCAACTCCCCCAGCGACGGCTCCTATGGTGCCCCCTAGTCCCTTCACCTGCTCCACGCCTATGTCTGCTCCTCCCACTGGCCCTGTCTGTTTCCCCAGCCTCAAGGTGCCTCCCAGTCCCAGCGTCTCTAATATCGACTCGCCGTTGAGCGCAAGCACCGCTCGATCACCCTTCAGTGCCAGACCGGTCCATTCAGTGTTCGACTGGGATGCTGCTCTCAAGGCCCGCCTACTAGAGAAGAAGCAGAAGACCTCACGGACAAGCGTGCGACACATTCGAGAGGTGGTGACAAGAACTGTCACATACACACCTAGAATGGCACCAGCACCAAAGGGCAAGAGACGAAAGGTGGAATAAACCTACTGAGCTAATCATTATCTACCCAACTCATCATGTCCACACTCAAAACGATCATCTGCTCAATCAACTCATACCTTTAACGATCCTTCGAATACTTCATGAACTTTCTTTTGTTTAGACATGCATCGTTACCAAGAACATACCGAAAAACGACGAGGATGCACACCTCAAGGCGAAATATGGAGCAGGCCTTCGACACCTGGCGGCGGCGAAAACTGTCGTCTGTTTAACCTTCAAGCATTCTCTTGTTGATATATTTTTTTTATACGCTTTGGAAGGAGTTGAATCAGGAATGGGGAGACCGGGAGGTGCGGTTGGAGGAGTTTGATGGCGTTCTACAAATTTCATTACCTACTTGGATGTGCTATTCCCTGGGGGCATAGCATGGACCAAGAATTACGATACCAGCACATTTGGAAAGGCTCGGGGGAGAAGGGATTGTGATCAGCGACTAGGACGCAGTCGACAGCGACCCTCTAACAGGGTTGTTTATGGATGAGGAGGGGACCGTCAGAAGAAGAATTGAACAACGCTTTGAGCTTCGGTGACCCCGTGTATCGGGGGCAGAATCAGCTCTTAGCAGCGCCGTTACTCAAAAATTCATAAAGCCATGGGCTGTTTAAACACCAATTTTGTCGCGTGCTCTGATTTGTGCTGTGTTAGGTGACTGAAACCGACTGACTGGTACGTACCTGATCATATGAGCCAAGCCTACCAGCCTGGACTGAGTCACCATTTTTACAAGTTTCGTTCTGTTTATCTAATTGGGGATATCGCCACACTATCGATCAATCGATCAATCGATTGTTTGTTTGTTTGTTTGTTTGTTTGTTTGCTCGTTTATAATGGATCTGTCATGGTCTTAAGAACAGGCCGCACAACGGGTATATCCTCGATGCGTATCTTGGTCGCACTGGCGGCCTACAGAACGGCCGCCAGCTCGAAGCTTCTCTGAACCCCACCTGCTCTTAATCTGCCTTATTTTCCTTCTATTCCCAAGTGATGGGATATACCCTTGTTCCTTGTCGGGAGACTTAGCATGGGTCGCAAAAGCACCTGTGAGAGATCATCTCAGCAAGCCTCAGGCTTCGTTCGAACGATGGGTTACATGGGGGTGAACGATGAAGAACATATTGTTGACCCGTTTTCATTCTGCATTTCGGTCCGCGTTGTGACGAGATGCAAAGACGTGAATGAAGCATCCATGTATATATGCACTCCACTGGGCCAACTCTTGGGCCAAAGGAACAGGACGTATGCAGAGATAGACAGATATAGTCATTGCCAGAAAGCGGCATCTGAGAGGGCCATGGGAAGCATTGGCAGTTCTTGTTCCCCCAATATTGTGCTTCTCTTATTCTCTTTCGGACCACTGCATCTTCACTGCGCTGCCCTGCGAATTCAGTACGAAGGAACCATTTGAACTTAAGGAATCCTTTCAATGCTGCTCGCCCACTGTCGGCACCCCCCTCCCATCACCCAGGGGTGATGGGCCACTAGAAAGACTTAGACTTAAAAGCGGCGTGGTCTCTAGCTTCTGGCGACCCAGCACCCTGGTCCAAGCGGAACTAGAGAGCCCCATAAACTGGGCTTGTAAGCGCCGGGCAATGGCCTTCGAATGTGTTATTGGCTAAGGCGGGAGAGCCCATCACCCACCATGGAGGGCGAGTTGACATGATTGGATCCGTGCTAAGCGCCCAGGGCTGTGGGTCGACGATTTCGATTTGTATTTGTGAGGGTTGGGGTTCTTAATGGATTGAGGACATAGCGACATGCAGAAGCGTTGTTTCTTGTCTATCCTGTATGGCCCGTAATAGTAATGCCTGCGCTATATGTTGTGTCGTGTTGTCTTGCTTCAGGTGCGCCTGTGTCTGCATCTCCCCTCTCGCTCTCGTTTCTACTCTTGTCGATTTGTTTCGCGCATACTACCCAGCTACTGCGAGGGATACAATGCGCTAGCAGACCAGTTGGCGTGTTTCCAATGGCCCCCAGTGGTATTGTCACCAGGGACGTGACGACGTGAATCTTTGGTCCGCACCAACCTGTGACAATATGTTGAACCTCACTGCCCGTGAACTTAAGCTTAGGCTCTTGACACCTCACCCAAACTCAAGCTCATTCCATCACCTCTCGTCATCCAGATGATCAAGGTCCTGGGACACTATCACTCAATTACCATGGCACAAGTCCAACAGGTGAAAAAGAACACCGATCTACCACGCGTAATCTCCAGTTTACCGGAAGCCCAGCTCCTCATGGCATCGTGTCCAGCAAGCAGAGGATGCTTCCGAGAGGCTACAGAACCTAGATTAAGAGCCCTCATAGCCTATTGACTCGCCCAACCCACCGAATGCGCCAGTGACGAGATGCGCATGTGGTGATGTGACAACCCTGCGCATCACACCGTCTCGTCTGCAGCCCTGTCATTGGCTACCATGCACGTGAGATGCCCAGCTCACGCCTCCCGCCTATCTGAAACCAAGGAGGGATCCTCAGCCCTGAGTCTGAGATTAGAAACGAGTTTGAGACCGCTGTGACCCGGCTGCTGGGTGGAACAAGGCCCTAGATCATGTTTCGAATGCTTTGCCAATTGCTAATTTTGGCTCAAAAGTCAGATTGTCGGATCTCACTCCTTGCTAGAACCTCTCTTCTTCACACCCATGGAGATAATTATAGTCTTCCCAGAACGAGAAGATCGCCGCCCCATGGTTTGGCTGGGTTGAATGCAGTGTGAAATTGCAGGGCAGTTGTGAACTTGAGATGCATCTTCTAGCTTGATGGAAACCAAAATGCCCTGTCCCCGTCTTGCCTTGAAACGTGATTCAATAGCACGAAGTTCATTCTGGTCTTGAACATGGGATCAATCCACTTCCCTCACTTCCTTCGCTATGGCGTTGCAGAGCGCAACCTTTACTCCTGCTCCAGTAAGCACATGGATCCATAGCCGTTGAGTATCACTCAGCCGGTCGTTGGCGCTCTTGACTTCCGAGAACATAACCTCTCCCTTTGGCCTTCCAGGCACCTTTTTTGAATCTTCTGGTAGATTATTAGTGCGCCACAGAATTAGATCCGGGATACCGCCGCCTCGTTGTCTGTACTCTTGAGCCATCACCTTGCATACTGCTGCAAGAGCGCTTCCCTCGAAGCACCCAGCAAGCTCTACGAGGTCGTCAATCTCGAAATCCCAGTTAAGGCCCACCACACTTGTTCTCCTCTCATGTTCTGATTCCCAGACTTTGCGAATGAGTCGTGGAGCCTCTCCATTGGCAATCTCGACCAGTCTGTGATTGATTTCTGATGCTCGGGACGGGTAGAAAGCATCAGTGTGAAGATCCAGCGGACATGTTTGATATGCTGTCTGAAACACATTTGGAATATAGATAAAGAGAATATCGTAAAAGAGGTACGCGAAAAGAGTGCGAATAATTCCACCCTCAGCGTGATACCCCTTCCAACCCTCTGATCGATATTGACTGAGACACATTGCTTCAACGCTACACTCCTCTTGGGTGTCTAGCTCATCGAGCCATATAGTTTTGGTTGAAACTTGGCGACCGCCCTTCGCAATGATATCCTTCTTGAGTTGAATTCCTTTAATGGTGTGTTCGATAGGTTTTTGCAGATCAACATGGCCAAAATCGTGTTGTAAGCGACGTGGTATACGTAGTTTCTTTTCTAGCTTGACAAGGCGTTTTTGCAGGTCATAGTGAAATATCAGATGGCAGTCCGGGTCTTGTAGGCCAGCCTCGCAAGTAGCAACTGCGATTTTCTTCCAATGTTTCTTCTGCTGTTCGGGGTCTGTGAATTTGGGATTCGGGTCCAAAGCTGGCATATAATGCTCCTCCAGAAGAGCCTTTCGTTGGTACCAACTACCTCGTCTTGCAGGATGGAACAGCCGTTGATCGAGAAGCTCGGTGAGCAGCTCATGCTCTCTGAGATGTTGTTTGAGCTTTCCAAAAACTGGTGCTGCTTTATGGACAATTCTTGTATACGAATGGCCTGGCGTGAAACGTCTCAAGTAAGCACCCTCTCCCATTTCATAGACTGTGTGCTCCTTGTGCTGCTCTTCTTCAACTAATATCTTCCATCGCGGGTAAACTTTCTCAAAGATGTTGACCATCAGTCTGAGGCCCTCATCTCCGGGTGGGCTACTGAACTCCCATGCATCGACTTCGGCCTCCATGCGGATGGCAGTTTCATACTCTAGTAGGTGCAGGCGCGACATAAATATAGTCGAAGTTCGGCACACAATGTATTCAGGAAAATGACGTCTTGCAATTTTAGCAAGAATAATTGTTGTAAGTGATTTCTCTGTCCACTCCGTCGATCGATAGAACACAAGATGCACCCGTTCAAAAAGCTTGAAGGCTGGTGGCGACAATCGAATGCAAGGTCCAAGTACTGCGAGAATTTTTGTAAGGAAATGCTGCTCTCGATTCGAATCTTCTCGCCGAAGCTTCGCGGTGTCCTTTCCCTTGGCTTTTGCATCCAAGTTTTCCTGGTCTTCGGAAACAGAACCACGGCTGTTGTGTCTGCTGAGGCCCACCGACATCAATCCAGACTGTTGCTTGCTCATCTTTACTAGTGAACGAATGAGTTCTGATTTATTGCGCCCTTGGACCTTCGCTTCCTTAGCAAGCTCTTTCAACTCGTCTAGGCTCAGCAGCGACGCAGCCTCTTCTACAGAATCAAAATGATCTTCTGACCTATCGGCAAAGCTGAACGTCTCATCCAGTCTCGACTCTTCAAGTTCAAGATCATGAACTGGGCTCTGTATTGGGGTGGCTGTGCTCGCTGGCAGAACACGAGACGATTGCAGGGTAGTTATCGCCGCCTCAAGGTCCGAAATGTCGTTGTGATATCCAAGACGGCTATGGCGATGCCACGATGCAGTTTTCCTCAGAAAGAGCCTGACGTAGCTTTAAAGTGTGAGCGAGTATCAGATTTGTGGTAATGCGTAGAGGGCATACAGATATTGAGCCTCGTAGTTCAGCTCTCTCCATTGTTTGAAAACCTCGGTCTCTTTCCCATCAAATAAATGTGATTCTTCTTCTAGGACAGTATCAAGCGCAAGATTGAAGGCATCCACATAAATAGAGCTTCGTCCCTTGACCCAAAGTGGCTGAGTTGTTTCTGTGGTGTCATCCTCGACATGCGCCGAGGCCTGTGATGACTTCATCGTCTCATACTGCTCGACTGCTTCTTGGCCTTCAGCAGCGGGCGGCAACGCGCTCTCAATACCTGTAATTCGAGGGTGTTCCTCAGTTTGGTATTTTGTTTTAGCTGCTTCATTGTCAGGAAAATCCTCCCTCGGTGAGATATCCTGGGGGTGATCGGGGCATAGGCCACCCTCAGAGTCTGGTGATCCCTGCCGTTTGGCTCGCTTGGAAGGCCTCTCCTTTTCTGGTGAGTCACCGCGAACTTGCTCTCGAAGCTGGCTCGGCGGCTTGGAAAGCCTCGTCACGAACGCATCCATAATTCAACTTGAGCCATGTCAGATGAAATTAGAGCGGCAAGGGTAGAAGTTGAAAACACTGTTAACGAATGGATGTCTAACGATGTGGACGCGATGACAAAGACAAGGTAGGCACGCTAGCTGAACACGAAAGCACATGACCTCGCGGGGTGTCTACATTATCGGTTCTTATCTTGATCCGAAAATCAGCCGGCGCGACAGGATCACCTTTGTCCACTCTAGCAGCTTCGATAAGTGCCTGTCAACAGTGCCATTCTGTTAAATACCTTACCTTACATCGCCTGATCTCATCGACAATGGCCGACGAAACCCCCAGAACAGACCCAGCAGCAGAGACACCGCAAGTTGTAGCACCAGCTGAATCTGCTGTCAATGGACATAACTCAGACGGTCCGCAGAAGGATGTGACAATGTCTGATGCGCCAGTCGATCACCCTGCAGTATGTTCTCTCTGCTCTATATGTTCCTGGAGAGGTTTTTTTTGTCCAGATTCCGCTCATTACGCGGACTCGCCTCTCTTCGATAATCAACCTCTTGTATCAGGCGCCATTTGGAGGACAGACTATTAACCTCTTGACAGTCATCTCCTGCTCCAGCTACTCATGCGCCTAGCCCCGTACCTGCACGAACAGGAACTCCGGCGCAAGGTTCCAGAGCTGCTTCTGCGCATCCGGATTCTGGTCTTAGCCTACCAGCCGAAGCTCCCCCTCATGGCGATTCAACACGGCGATATCTCAACACAAAAGTTACCGGAGTATTGTTAGAGGGCGTGAAGCAACTGGCGAAAGACAAGTAGTTATCACCTTTATTGTGTTTTGTGAATGGCGACTAACAGCATCACAGGCCGAGTGATCCTCTCCGGGTACTAGGAGAGTATCTCATTCAGAAGTCAAAGGAACTGGAAGGTACTGGCTAGATCCACGATATCACAAAATTTCCCACGGTAGCACGCAATTGGCATGGTAGCGGAAGGCATAGATGGCGTTCAGGTTCAATAAGTTTATCGTCACTGGGTTGAGAATGCCCCATTGCATACGCGTACTTTCAGCGGTCGAAGAGCTTTCTATTTGAGCGGTCGACGTCGCTGTTGATCCTCCCAGAGGGGGCAGAAAGCATCATGGCTCTAAATGCAATTTTTTCCATGTTTGTCCCCTAACTCCGTGACCCGGGAAACCATCACCACCAACTCAATGCTGCCATTCTTCGTCATGTGTTCGCTTAAGCGACGATGGTGCTGGCAGTAGCGGACTCGTACTTCCAGGTGGGAGGGAGAACACCGACGGTCTTGTAGTAACGAGCCAGGCGGTGAATTCGGGACTCAATAAGAATGAGGCGGAACTTGGAGTCCTTGTCCTTGCGGTTACGCTCAAGGTGCTTTCGGACGGCGACAGCCTTTTAATTTGTTAGCCTGGAATTGTGCAATGGGGAAAAATTTGACATGACTGGCGTACCTTCTTGATAAGCATGTACAGATCCTCGGGGAGCTCGGGAGCGAGGCCTGTTAAGATCTCTCTGTCAGTCTCAACCGTACAGAGGCATTAAGGAGATGGTGTTTCTCCGTTGTAGATGTATTTGTTTCCATCGCCACATCCTTTATTCGTTTAGGGAACCGTACCGCTGGACTTGAGAATTCGGAGAATTCGGTTACCTGCGATTATTTGTTAGTTGCTTTGACCTTTATTTTCCATGCGCGCAATCCTTACCGGTGACAAGCTTGACCTGGGCAATACCATGGCTGTCGCGAAGGACAACACCAATCTGAGAGGGAGTGGCACCCTTACGGGCGAGCTTGGCGATCTGCTCAACAACCTGCTCAGGGGTGGTCTTCAACCACGCAGGAGCGGAGCGAGAGTAGGGGAGAGCGGAGGCAGAAATGCCCTTTCCCTTGCTGTGAAGTCGGCCCATCTTGTCGGTTTGGCGTGGTGATGCTGGATGATCAGTGTTGGAGTCGTGGAGTTGCAAAATGATCTTTTGAGAGAATTACCTTTTGTGCGCACTAACCTTTTTGCTCACGTGATACAGGCTGTCACGTGAGAAGATCTAGCGCCTTTTCTTTGTTAGAGTGCCGGGTTGGCTTAGATACCCGGTGGGTTAATCCCATTTATCCCACCTGATAAATGGGAGTAACCCACTGAGTAGATAAAATGCACTAAGTAAGGTGCCTTACAGATGCTATCTCCAGATCTTACCTACTGTAAGTGTTGCCAGAGGAAGGTGCAAAGTGGAGGAGATGCCATCTAAGGAAAACTGTATGCCATGTAAGAGGGAAGGTACAATGCGATGGGCACGAATATCCTCTGAAGCTATCTCGCTCTGATTTTCTTCTCTTCTTTTTTTCCCCTTAGCCATCCTTGACACGAGAAACGGTAAGTTATATTTCGCCTTCGCTCTCTCTCCCCCTTTGCCATAATGCATATCCTATGTAGCTGCAAGTGCAGTATCAACAGAATCCTGGCTTCCACTGAATGAGCCTTGACTTCCAGTGGCAGCTTGTGTGATCCACTTTTATTAGGGTAGCGAAATGCGAATCGACTGGACCGATAAGCCACGATGCAGATGCTAGATAAGAGGTCACGTGCATGGTCCAAGCTTAGCGCTAATGTCGCGTCTCTTTTACTTTTCTTGCTGTCGCGATTCGAGTTTTTCTTTCTTGATATTCTGCATGAAGCAGAGCTCTTTGAGCTCTGCGCCACTACTTTCAATCATATGGTAAGTTAAAGTGCTCCTCATACCGTCTCAGTCGACCTCGACATGATGATAAATCACTTTTTACTTATTTCTGGTACCTCTTATGTTAGAGCCCTCGGGCTCAATGAATGAACAGGACTTCTGATCTGGTCATTTTATTTGCAATTCGACTCGTTTTCACTGTTGGGCTTGACACTAACCGAGTACAGATTCTTTAGGCTACTTGTTCCTACTTGAAGTTGCGTTAGATAGATATCTTGCAAATAGTCAGTACCTTCAATGTATGCTCCTCTTGATTCCACCGCTGTGTATCAATCCATCAACATGTGCCTGGCCTCGTAGTAGTGAACCTTGCATTCTCGTAACACGAATCCACATCAACACGATGTAACACTTGACTTGCACTTAGTGCCTGCTCATACATGCGAAGGTCGGTAGTATTGAATTCGATGATACCAAATGCTTTGCCATGCCCTGTGTTTTACATTTTCAATTGATTCCCTACCCGTACACCGATAGAAGACTCCTGCCCCCTCAACCCATATACCCAAGGTAGCAAACATATTTTCTCCTTGGTCGCCTTGGATGGAAACGATATTACCTCTTACCACGCTCCAACGTCGAAGTTCTCCTACATGTCGGGTTAGTCGCTATGAACCAAAACCTAGGAGTCTAAGCTTACCTCTGGGAAATATGTTGTCACGACAGTTCTGTCAGCAAACTTGCGTCCTGCAAGAGCTTGCAGAGCCTTTGCTGTATCTTCGGCTTTCTCGTACTTGACAAAGATCTTGCCTACACCAGCAGATTGTCGACTGCCACCAGTGGGTCGAGGAACCTTGACATCGATGATTTTACCAAACTTGGAGCATTCTTCCTTAACGTCTTCGCAAATTTCTGACAGGCTTTGTCAGTAGGAGTTCATTACAATGGCCAAGATCACGCACCTTCGTAGTCGTCGTTGTCCAAGAGCTCTTCAGCAGTCACCATGTTTAGAAGCTGAAGCACTCGACTGCTCTCAACCTCATTGGCAGTCTGAGAAGCAAGACCACTGATAGCGGTGATACCCACGTCGAAGTTGGCGACTTGTGTAGGACCGATACTGGCCTTGCTAACCTTGAGCTTCTTGCCTCCAATTTCCATCCCGTTGAGTGTGTCAAGTGCAGTTGGATTGGAGGCGGCGGGGTCTTGGTACTCGGCAAATGCGATACCCTGGGAATGTTAGAGAGAAAATCTTATTTTCGCACAATAGGTTGGTGAACTCACTCTGGACTCTTCTGTCCCTCTGTCCTTGACAAGAACAAAAGCCTTGGGTTTGCCAAAGCTAGCCAGCAGCTCAATAATCTGCTCTTCTGTCAAGAAGGTAGGGATATTGGTAATGCTGAGCTTGTTGACAGTGTCCGGAACGATGTTCGAGACGACCTCGGAATCATAGGAGACTTCCTCAGTTACTGCAGGCACGACGTAGTCACGGGGCCGGCGAATTTCAAGGCCACGGTGACCTCCATCCGTACCATTCGATGCATCGCTGGCTTCCATAGATATTCCATCCATTGCCAAAGCAACTGTTGCCTCGGGGGCGTCTTTGAACTCGATGACGGCAAATGACCGATCGTTGGAGAACTGGCACAGGACGCAAGGATCTGTGGTGTCGATGACATTCAACCCATTCAGCTGGAGGTTGAAGAAAGACATGAGGGCCTCTTCGCTTGTGCCTGAGGGGATTCTTGAAACCAAAAGTCGCTTTGACTGGCGAGAGTTATTGGCTTTCAGTCCAGCGCTCGTGACTTGCCCACCAGGCTGGTTCATAAACGCCTGTAGTTTGCTCGGGTCCATTGGCTGTTGCCGAGGAGCGCCAGGAAGAGGGAACATGCCCGACAGCTTGGCTTGCTCAGCTGTAACATTCTCGTAGCCTGGAGGCTTGATATCCCACTGAGTCAGGCGACGCTTGCGGTCGAGGACAGGCACGATGTTGGTCAGATCTGGAGTTGGCTCTCGCTTCTTAGGTGGTGGGCTCGCGCTACGGCGCTCCTGCTGTGCTGGAAATCTGTCCTCGCGTCGATCTCTTCCACCGCGACGACGGTCTTCGTAGGGGTCTCGGTCTCGCCTGTTAGGCCGCTCATCGTCGTCGCGTCTGGCATCTCGACGGGATGATCCTCGATCGCGATCCCACTCACGGTCGCCACCTCGTCTTTCGCGGCCCGAGTATCTGTCTTCGCGCTCACGGTCGCGGTGGTTTCGGCTGGACGAGTAGGCATCGACATCGCCTTCACCTCGTCGATGGCTTCGGTGCTCGGGTGAGCGAGATCGTCTGCGGTCGCGGTCACGGTGTCGGTCTCGACGATCGTCTCTATCACCTCTTTCACCTCTTTCACCTCTAGGCTAAGCGAAGTCAGCTTGAATCACATTCGAGAGGATGAAATGGA